GTGTTTACAGGTGATAAACAAAGGCTTCTTCCTCTTCGGAACACTGGTGGCCATCGGCAGCACCTACCTCCTCCTACGCTCCACGGCCACGAGACCCCTGGATTACTTGAGAGGAACGTGGGACTGGGTCACTAGCCTCCAGCATTCGGGACACATTTCCCTGAAAACCCCCTGGAGCCTCTAGAACAAATCCCCACGGTCACCCGCAGGCGACGGGAAGGTCGTGAAGGAGCCAATGACACGTGATTCCTCTGTAACCAAATCTAAGGGTCCAAGCCATGGTTCCCACCGTTATATTTAAGTCACTCGTGGACGATGTCTGTCAGCTTGAGAATTAAATTCAATGTCGAATGTCCGCGTGTTCACCAGAAATGTGTTTAAGGCCGCCACGTTCATTTGCCTTGAGTAGCTTCCCACAATACTATGCTCACGTCCTGTCCTAAATATAAACGTGTATGAATACCTCTTTCACTTCTCGAAGAGGAAGACACTGACCACACTCTTTCTTTTAAAAAAAAATATATTTTATTGATTTTACAGAAAGAGGAAGGGAGAGAGAGATAGAGGTAGAAACATGGATGAAAGAGAAACATCCATCAGCTGCCACCTGCTCGCCTCACCACTGGGGATTGAGCCCACAACCCAGGAAGCTGAGTTCTGGCCCAGCACCTGCCTCTGGGCCCAGCCCTTAATTTCTAGGAACCTTAGTTCCTTCATCTTTAATCTAGTCCTTTGACCTAGATAGTCTCTTAGGACCTTTCTCGGTGTTTCATCTCTTCTAATTTACTTAAAAGAAGTATAAGATGGATTATTTTTTACCTAGATCGTCATATCGCTGAAAGACAGCCTGAGAGAACCGTGATACATCGGGACCATTTCTCCGCGGTCCTGGAAACTCTGACTCAGATTTATGTTCAGATCCGATCCTCAGAGCTGGCAGCAAACATGGGACGTGCGGGGTTCTGCCCCGGGGAGCCCGCAGCTGGTCCTGAACGAGGACTGATTTCCCAAATGAACCCTTTGCTGGAAATGGCTGCGACTTCCAGTTCACAGCTAATGGCTGCAAAGTGGGGTGTGATGGAGAATCTGTGATGGGTGTCAGCAGGGGCTGGGGTGCGGGGAAGAGCCCTTGGTGAAACCTAAGTGGTCCCAGTCGGTTAAAACCTGTGTATCTCAGCCAGCCTGCCTGGCTCAGGGGTTGAGCGTCGACCTAGGAACCAGTAGGTCTTGGTTCGATTCCAGGGCAGGGCACAGGCCAGGGTTTGCAGGCATGACAATCTCTAGCGCACCCCTAGGAGACTTTGAACTTGAAGACCCAAGTTACCAGACAGGCTCGCTTCCCACAGTCACCACTTCCCCTGCCTATGCCCTTGGTTTCTCCCTCCTAAAACAGTTCCCGATCACCCAGTGAGCTCCTAGCACATGCACGCGCGTCCTGTTGAGCTGTGGGTGAGGAAGGAAGTCGGGGTCTCTGCCCTGAGGGAGTCATTCACTGTTTGGTGAGGGTGCCAAGCACACAGACAGGTGAGGAGGGAGGGTCACGGGAACCCACAGGATGGGTGGGTCAGCTCAAACCCTCAGGAGGTCTTGAGCTTAGCCTTCTGAGGGGAGTAGCAGGAGAGACAGAAGAACGTTCCAGGGAAAGGAAAGGCACTAAGGCCAAGGACAGGGAGCACGTTCTAGGAACAAGAAGTACGGCAGCCGGCTGAACCCTCAGGTGGCAAGGAAGTGGGCATCTCAGGAGAGGATGCTGGCGAGGCGGACAGGTGGTGGCCACGCAGGCCCTGACAGCCACACTCGAGGGCCTTGCTTTTATTTATTTATTTTTTAAATATATTTTATTGATTTTATTTATTTATTTATTTTTACAGAGAGGGTTAGAGAGTTAGAAACATAGATGAGAGAGAATCATCCATCAGCTGTCTCTTGCACACCCCCTACTGGGGATGTGCCCGCAACCAAGGTACATGCCCTTGACTGGGATCAAACCTGGGACCCTTGAGTCCGCAGGCCAACGCTCTATCCACTGAGCAACACCGGTTTCGGCCTCAGGGACCTTGGTTTTAATCATGAAGCCAACGGGACGGCTACAGGATTTTAAGCGAGGCAGTGACGTGAGAGTATTTCTATTTTGAGGGCAATTACTCTGGTGGCAGTGCCAGGAAAATGGACCGGAGGAAAAGAAGAATAGAGGAAGGAAAACAAAGGTCCTTAGGAGTTGTGTCTGTGGCAGGAGGTGGGGTGGGGGTGGGGGATGATACATGGAAACATCTTTGAGGTTGAATAGATAAAAATTGATCATTGGATGTGGGGAGAGGGGAAGGATGAAGAATAGATTAGTCTAGGGAGCTAGGAATGATGACCATTCACAGCAGGGACTGGAACTGAGCTAGAGGCCACAGGGAACCAGGCAGTGCCTCTAGGCCAGTGGTCGGCAAACTCATGAGTCCACAGAGCCAAATAGCAACAGCACAATGACTGACATGTCTTTGGAGAGCCACATTGTTTAAACGTAAACGTCTTCAACACAGACTCGCCCAGGCCGTGGTGTTTTGTGGAAGAGCCACACTCAAGGGGCCAAAGAGCCGCAGGTGGCTCTCGAGCCGCAATTTGCCAACCACAGCTCTAAGCAAGGCGATTCAGACACTGTAAGGGCATCCACCACCTGGTCACCCAGGCAGGGATGCCCAGAGCACAGGCCCAGAGGATACAATGACAGTTGACAGAAGTGAGGGAGGCTGGGGGTGGGGTTGGGGTTGGGGGTTGGGGGTAAGGGGAAATGAAAAAGGGGAAGAAAATAACAAGTACAAATTGGTAGCTACAGACCAGTCACGGAGAGGTAGATTACAGCACAGAGAATCGAGTCAGTCATATTGTGATAATTACATCCGGGGCCAGGTGGGCCCTAAAGAACGGGGCAGAGGGACCACTCTTGTAAAGTACGTGATTGTCTAACCACTATACCGTACATCCGACACGAATGCCGAATGACACTGAATGCGAACTGTATCTCGTTTATTTTTAAAAGAATCTAAAGAAAATGAAAACTTGTGCTCTATCACCATCTACTGGAACGCGAGAGAAAAACATCTCATCAAGCGGCTGAATGATTTAAAATCGAAACAGGGCCTTTATTTAGGCAACCACTTCCTTCAAAACAGCTCGATGGGGCTGTTTTCCTGTTGGTAACCGCTACAATAATACATCCATTCGGACCAAGGATGTTTCCCACCAAGAGTTGTAAAACTTGACATCAACAGTTTTGGAGACCATCCTTTGAATGTAATATGTAAACATATATATTTTTCATCTAAAGAATTTTAGAACTTGACAAGGAATCAATAATTTCTCACCAAATCAGTATACATTATACCATGAATCTTTTATTTTTCATTGCACACATCAGTATTTTACAGAAAAAAATAAAGTCCTCTTAATGTTCAATTCCAATGGATCACAATTTCTTGATTCTCAATGTACATGAATATAACCCAGTAAATACAACTTATGTTCTAACACGTTGAGTCTCATTGAAACACTTTTCCATACAATTTTACACATATAAATATTATTTGCCTACATAAGTTTTTGATAGCAATATACAAAATCTTATTTGTATATTTCCCAATTGTTGGGCTTAAAAAAAACAAACCCTCAAATGGATGGAATTACTAGAAATATCTTCATACAATTAATCTTTTTATTTTTATTTTCCTGGATATATGCTTCTTAAATTGAGTTAGATCAAAAGATAGGGGTTATAGAGCTCTTATGTTTTTCTAAATAGTTCTTTTAAAATCTACTAATAGAATAATACTACTGAACATGCAGTTGAAAACTTTTGCTACTAGCATGAACTAGTAGAAATTAGGTCAAAGTTGTTTCAATTTGCAGTGGAAAAATCAGCAAGAACGAATGCTCACTCACTGAGAAGGCTGGGCAAGTGAACCCCAGGTTCAAGTGGACTCACGTGGTTCCACCTTGAGTTACTGGTTGGAAAGTCATATATATATATTACTGATTTCTTACAGAGAGGAAGGGAGAGGAATAGGAACATCCATGAGAGAGAATCATCGATCAGCTGCCTCCTGCATACCCGCTACTGGGGTTTGTGCCCCCAACCAAGGTACATGCCCTTGACCGGAATCGAACGTGGGACCCTTCAGTCTGCAGGCTGACGTTCTATTCACTGAGCCAAACTGGTTTCAGCAGAAAGTCTTCTTTAGGTGTGAGGGTCCTGCAGAAATTTTCTGAAATGTTTAATCAGAATGAATCTTCTTCCCTACATTTTCTTTGTCGGGACCTCCCAAGAATGAGCTCCTCAACTAGTAACTGGACTTCCTGACACTTGTTCTAATGTCAGAAGATTGTAGTGGGGACATTGCCTTCTGGGTTACAAGCGTGGATTAGGAGTATTCAACAGTAAGACACTGCAAACATCAGACCTTCACAAGTCAAGGATCATGCAAAGCTAGTCTTTTAATGAGACAAATATATTTTATATTGGCACTTGCATTAGCTGCTACTGCTACCATAAATATGTTTATATTATATACAAAAGAACCACATAATTTACTGTGTGTGTGTGTTTTTTACTCAAGAGGTGGTAGCAACTGTCTTAGCTGCAAAGAAAAATATTCTTTAGACACCGTCATTGTAGATAAGAATAAAATCTGAAAATCATTAGCAGGTACAATACAACCTTCCTTTAAGCCCAGTTGCTAACATGGAACCCTCAGCTATACAATCAATCCTAAAGTAAAGCTAACCCTGTTTAAAGATCCTGGATCACAGAGTCCATTCTGAAACAAACAAAAAACGGTCCAATAACTAACCCATCGGTGGCTGACAGGTTGACAGACATCCAGCGTAACGAGGAGCATAACCTATCACATAACCCCTTCTAATCACTCGTACAGGACGCTGTCCTTCAAATGAGAATACCCGGATGCGGGGATGAAGGCCCCAAGTAGCATTTCCGGTTTCCTTTCCTTTTTCTCCTAATTTTGAGGATGTTGCCCTGGGCAATCCGGGTGCTGGCTTCCCTCGGGGGCTTCCAGTTTGGCCACGATGATGTCACTGGTCCCGGGGGGCTCGGGGGGTTTGTCCTCCCCGTCAAAGATGATGTCTTCGGGGTTAGGGGGCGGGGGGCAGAAATCTTCTCCCGGGGAGATCTGCTGGAAGAGGGCCTCGGCGAGCTTGACGGCGTGCTCGTTCCCCAGGCCGCAGTCCGGCCCGGAGCAGACGTACACGTTGGCGGGCAGGCCGCGGTAGGAGCCCCTGCTGACCCCCGAGGAATCCCTCATGTTGAAGTAGAGGGCCCACAGCAGCCGTGGCTTCCCGAGGCCCCCCGTGTCCGTGTCCGTGTCTGCCTCCGTGGAGGGGGTGAACAGTGCCTGCACCGCTGGCTCCAGGTCTTCCCTGGCCGTGCGCGCGGACGGGCAGGTCAGATGCACCAGGTAGGTGTCCTTCATGCAGGTCATGGTGGAGGAACACAGCTCGGCCACCCGGACGGCGGGCGCGCCCGGCTCGGCCGGGGGGACCGTCAGGATGGAGACCTGCTGGTCGGACTCGGCCTGGAGCACCGACCGGTCGGTGATGAGCACGGCCCTGGAGATGTGCGGGTACCGCACGCCCGCGCATGTCTCCCGGGAGAGGTAGCTGTCCTCCACCACGAAGTGCTTGGCGCTTATCCGCTGGCCCAGGCCGTCTATCACCGCCTCGCACCTCCCGGACTCCTTGTCCACCACGAGGCACTGGACTCGGTGGCGGAGGCAGTAGATGCCGCCGAAGACGGCGCACATCCGGCAGAAACACTGGGGGATCTCCCCCTGGCCGTACAGCGGGAACAGGAACGGGGTGTTGCCGTACCGCCCGAGGCACTGCAGGAAGTGCTTGGTGGCCTGCAGGCCGTCGGCCGTGGAGCAGGAAGGCTCCGCCATGGCGATCGAGTGCAGGATGAAGTGCTGGAGGTTGGGGGTGAGCTTCTGAGTCTTTAGGAACTCCGAGAAGGGGCGCCGGGTGACGTCCTGGCCCTCCAGCACGCCGGGGTGCTGCTCGGAGTCCAGGCAGGAGGTCAGGAACTTCATCAGCATCCTCTTCTCCACCATGCTGAGCTCTTTGCTGTTGAAGACATCCGCCCGGGAGCAGGGCACCTGCTCGACTCTGCCGTCCCGGAAGGCGAGGACCCGGGTGACGTTTTTGAACTCGGCGTAGCGGCTCACGTTGGATTTGATCAGAAGGTCGATCAGCGAGCCCTGAGAGTACAGCAGCTTGGACACCAGATCGATATTGAACCGCCTGCCCTCTTTAACGATCTGGGAGTAAGTGATCCTCGTTCTCCTTGGGGGATCCGCGCTGTCTTCCGCTGGAGGTTTATTTTCGTCCTCAGCTCCGTCGGAAGCTGGGTGGCCACGGGTCTGATCTCCGCCATCTTCTCCCGTCACCTGGTTCTCCTCTCCATCGGTCACTTCTGGTGAGATGTCTCCATCAGGCTGCGGGGTGTCTTTGGCGGGCGTCTCGGGGCCAGTGCTGTCTGGGTGTGTTTCTTCCGACGGGCACGCAGGATCCAGAGGTTGAGTGAGGGTGCTGGATGCTTCCGAGGAAGGATTTCTCTGCAAAGCACCCACCTCTTCCGCACCGTCACCCCCGTCCTCGCTGGCGTAACGGAACACCTCCACGTGCTGGATGGTGTCATCCTGGCCGCGCAGAGCGATGGCTTCCTCTGTGTCGCGGATCAGGGTTTGCCAGGCGGCTGGGCTTTTGTCCCCGGCCTCGCTGTCTTGCTCATGCTCCTGCAGCCAGGAGAGCAGCCCCGAGAAGGTGAAGCTAGCCCAGTTTCCCCCGTAGTAGCTCCTGGAGTCGACATGGAGGACTCTCTGTCCGCTTCTCGCACACGCGGCTGCAAGGATGGATTCGGGCAAACCTGTCCCGATAATGATGACGTCAAACTCAGTCGGGAGACTGTCCGCCATGCCAGGAGGCAAACTGTCCGGTGATTGCCACTGAAGGGAGTGAGTATGAACCCAGGCGGAGGGCTCAGAGGAGCTGTGAATGGGCTGGGATAAAATCTCTCCTCGTGAAGGCCCAGGTTGTTCCAGAAGTTTCGAGGTTGCAGGTCCCAGGTGTCTGTTACCCTTTTTGATTTTTTTTTTTTTTAAATAGGTCAGTGGCATAAAAACATGATCAAGTCCAGCTCATCACACCTGAGAATACGGACACGGATCTGTGGTTTTCATTTCTCCGTTTCATCTTAGCAGTGCTCGTCACACACGCATTTGTGACCGGAACGCGCCTGTGCAAGAGAATTCAAGAAATACAACTGTGAACAACATTAAGAGGGAAGTAATTTCATGCAGCAGCAGTTACAATCCATTGGAGCCTGACTTGCTATTAGGACACCAGCCTCTACTAAAGCGAGTCATTAAATGCTCTCACCTATTCTATAATTTCTTGGAAATGAACACTAAAGATATTACTCCCCCCCCCCTCAGAAAATTCAATAATGCAGAATGGATACACTAATGTCCCACAAGAACAGAATACAATTCTCTCTCTTGCTTTTAAGACAACTGGTATTTGAATAAAACCATACACGACGGTGAGCTTAGACTGTAAGAAATGTGTGCTCCGCTGTGTTTATGAAAACAGACGGTATAAGGTGAGCACATTGCCATGAGGAATATTCCCAGGCCCAATACAGTTTGTGGGCGACTCGAGAACAGCTGGACAGAAGACGTTTCCATACCCACCCATCTTTACATGAATGTGCACGTACACATGCAGAAGCTAAAAAGGAAAATCCCTGGGCTCATGTTAAAATATACTAACATGAATAATGCTTCTAACCTTGGAAGAGGTGCATTTTCAAGGGCCAAGATTCACTGGTGAAAGGACGGCTTGTTTCAATAAATGGGGCTGGAAACACACACCCTCAGGAGCCCCAGTGAGCAGCCAGCCGCCTAGGCACCCGGTGAGGAGCGCCTTTCCGCCCAGCAGAGAAAGCTCAGGGCTCTCAGCCCTGCACACTGATCAGAGCTGCCAGAGGGCCCACGGGGAGGGCCCACATCAGCCGGGAGATCGGGCCTCCACGCAGGACCGGGGCCACTGGTTCCGGGGGGAGCGGGCTGCGCGGGGGAAGCCCTGTCCCCGGTGCAGCCCCAGGCGACCTCCGCAGCAATGGGGCCCCGGCCCTGGGAGACGCGGCCGCTGGGCAGGAAGCGCCCGGCCTCCCCGCAGCGGCAGCAAATGGCCCCGCAGACGCATCAGCAGGAGCTGCAGCCCGGGGCGCCCGCGCACCAAGCGGACATCCTCCCAGCCCGGCTGAAACCCCACACGGCGGCCATCGGCGGAGGGAGCGCCCAAGCGGGGCCACCCAAGTGTTCGCACCCCGCGTTCCAGGGCCCGGCGGGCGCTCAGGGCCCCATCCTCTGCGCACCCTGGGGCCCAGCTGGGGGGGATCGTCTCCGCGCCTCGCTGAGCGCGCCCTGCCGGCCGCTCCCCGTACCTGGAGGCCGCCCCGCCGAGCCGCTCCCGCTCCGGGCGAGCAGCGTCCCCGCCAGCACCGAGCGGCCCAGATCACGGTCAGCGGAGGGGACACAGGGAGAGGAGACCCGGGAGAGTCCACTTCCGCCCGCTGGCCCCGCCCCCGCGGCCCGGCCCCGCCCCCGCGCGCAGGACGTCGCCCAAGCACGCTCTGCGACGCCTCCGCCAGCTGGCCCCGCCCCGCACGCTGGGGCACGTTCCCCCGCTCAAGGCCCCGCCCCCTTACGCTCAGCCACGCCTTCCGCTCAAGGCCCGGTCCCCGCACGCTCAGCCACGCCCCCTGCCCAAAGCCACGCCTTCCGCTCAAGGCCCGGTCCCCGCACACTCAGCCACGCCCCCTGCCCAAAGCCACGCCCCGCCCTCGGGCCCCGCCCCCGAACTCCGGGCCCCGCCCCAACACTCCTCCTCCACCCGCAGATGGTCCAAGAAAAACAAACTCTAAATGAGGAAATGCTCCAAACAAACATTAATCTTTTATTTTTTAAAAATTTTTTTACTTATTTTATTTTTTTATATTTTATTGATTTTACCCAGAGAGGAATTGAGAGGGATAGAGAGTTAGAAATGTCCATGAGAGAGAATCATCTACTAGCTGCCTCTTGCACACCCCCCACTGGGGATGTGCCCGCAACCAAGGTCCATGCCCTTGACCGGAATCAAACTTGGGACCCTTCAGTCCGCAGGCCGACGCTCTATCCACTGAGCCACACCGGTTTCGGCTGAGGGGACAATTTTCATATTAGCCTTTTATTCTATAGGATAGACACCGAGTGGCCAGATTATTATGCTTTCAGATATCATAATAATCTGGCCACTCGGTGAGTAAGATTGTGTGTGTGTATGTATATGTATATGTGTATTAGAGGCCCAGTGCATGAATCCGTGCATGGGTGGGGTCCAGCCAGACTGGCCAGGGGGAGGGCACATGGGCAGTTGGCCGTCCTGCCTGCTGGTCAAACTCCTGGTCGAGGGGACTATTTGCATATTAGCCTTTTATTCTATAGGACACACACTAAGTGGCCAGATGATGATGCGTTCAGAGATCATCATCTGGCATTAAATGGCTATAGTCCACCCCATCCCGTTCATATTAACCTCTAGCAGCCAGGCAAAGGCGTGGGAAGGGAGAAGAAGAACCGGAAGTTGCCCCTACAGTGGGAGCTGGGACCTGGGCAAACCCCGGCCCGGGGCCACCATCGGACCCTGCGACAGCCCCCACGCGCACCTGCAGTTCCACTCACCTGCGGCCACCGGGCATCCGGGAAAATTCAGTGAAAAACCACAGGAAAAACCCACGCACCGGGCCAACGGCGCGCAGGTAGGGGACATGAGATGAAATCTCGCGAGGTGAGAGTCTCGCGTGGTGAAGTCTCGCGAGGTGAAGTCTCGCGAGATCTTCCCCTGCACAGGCTCCTGCCCATGCATCGCACGTCATGGCCGGCCCGTGGGCAGGTGGACAGTGGCGGGGGCTCAGCCACGTGACAGGTCACCCTAGTTCCAGTTCCTGGCGGCCCCACGGGCAGGAGCAGGGGATGCTGGGAATTGGGGTGCGCCCCAGAGAAGCCGGAAGTGGCGCTCGTGGTCGTGCGTGACGAGGTGAGCGAGGGCATCATCCGCCGCCTTGAGGCTGAGAACGGGCCCAGCCCCGCGTCAACCCGGAAGCTAGCATGGTGCGCATGTGCAGGGGAAAGCCTGGGGCCGCGGGTCGGCAAACTGCGGCTCGCGAGCCACACGCGGCTCTCGGGGCCCCTGGAGGGTGTGGCTCTTCCACAAACTACCAGGGCCTGGGCGAGTGTGTGTGGAAGAAGTGGCGTCCGGAGGCGTTGAAGTTTAAACAATGTGGCTCTCCAGAGGCACGTCCATGGCTGTGCTGTGGGTACTTGGCTCTGTAGACTCCTGAGTTTGCCGACCGCGGGGCTAGTGCCTCCCGGGGATCGCCAGCCCGGGAGCTCCTCTCCACAGCGTGCTTTGGGGTTTTTATAGGGGATTCATTCACCCCATAAAGTCACTCTTCCAGCCTTCCTCACCCCCTGCCCTGCAGGTTGGGGATGGGGCTCAGAGGCCCAGCCCTCTCTCCCTTGCTGGGTTTCCCCTGGCCACCTGCCCCCCTCCTTCCTGGCTTTGCAAAAGGCACCCCCTTCACACCGCAAAATGAGCAGAGGCGTGCTCCCGGGAGAGCATCCACGTGGAATACCTGCGCGCTCCATCGACCAATTTCACAACCGGATCAGGGAGAGCCTTACACTTTAAAGAGAAATTACACATCAGTCCTCATCAGGAAACCCTGCAAAAGGGAAGGAGTGCACTCCTTTGAAACAAGTATACATAACACAGAACACCAGTCTGTAAAACTCACACATAAACCCCCAACCAAACACATCCTTTCCTGTCCTTTTGAGACAACTCCCATCCTCCCGTTTTGTTTTGTTTTTAAATGTGTTCCCAACATACTTTTTTTTTTTTTATAATATATTTTATTGATTTTTTACAGAGAGGAAGGGAGAGGGATAGAGAGCTAGAAACATCCATGAGAGAGAAACATGGATCAGCTGCCTCCTGCACACTCCCCACTGGGGATGTGCCCGCAACCCAGATACATGCCCTTGACCGGAATCGAACCTGGGACCCTTCAGTCCTCAGGCCGACGCTCTATCCACTGAACTAAACAGGTTTCGGCTCCCATCCTCCAGTTTTAAACACCATCTCTTTTGTTCAAAAAACGTCAAGCGGGAAGATGAGGTTTTTCGCAGCGATTTATTGCTCATCACCTTAACAACGTTTTCACGAGGACCGTTCCCATCGAGACATCCTCAGACGCTGTCGCCAACATGCCTGTTGCTTTTCTTTAAGTAACACTGGTGGACCAGCGGGAGCAATTTCCCTTCCTGGTGAAGCCTGTGGGTGTCGGTGGCGCCCCCGATAAAAGTCCCGTTGACAAATATCCTTGGCACCTGCCAGAGAAACAGAAGCAGGTGTCACTCGCGTCTGGGTACTGTTATGGGCCAGGCACGACACTAAGGAAGCTCTTTCCCTAATTACCTATTTCCATCTTTCCACGCCGAGTGAGTTAGAGTTGTTAGTCTTATTTTGGAGGGAAATGAGGCACAGGCACTTGTGAAAGATCATAATCAGTCAATGACAGAGCTGGGATTTAAATTTAGGACTGTCTGACTCTCCAAGCCCTTCCCCTTAGTCACTGTGCCACATAAAAATCTCTAATTATTACTCATGTTTAACTTTCTGACGGTTCTTTACTAAACGGGAAGAGTACACACATTTCTCCCATGCACACAAGAAGGCAAGGGGCAACACTGGATATTTTTCTGACAATGCATATTACGGAAAAAATCCACAAGTTTCAAGAATCTGCCAGGCTGGTATATAGCTCAGAGGCTGAGCGTTGACCTATGCACCAGGTCATGGTTTGATTCCCAGTCAGGGCACATGTCTGGATTGTAGGCCCAATCCCCACTATGGGGCCTGCAGGAGGCAGCCCATCAATGATTCTCTCTCATCATTGATGTTTCTATCTCTCTCTCCATCTCCATATCTTTCTGAAATTAAAAAAAGAAAAAGGAAAAAAAAAGAATCTAAACACATAAGGCACTAAACCACTCCTATTGTCACAGAAGAGCCTGGTCTGTACTGTCCAGTCACACACACACACACATACACACACACACACACACACACACACACACACACACACGATCTTGAAGGATAAAAAAACGAATTAACTCCCCTCTCTCCTCTTCTAAGAGTCTGGTTCCCAGATCTGCCCTTTCCTTATCGATGTGAGATTTCTCGGAGAATGTCCGGGCCCTGTGTCCTACCACGAGGGCAGCACCCGCTCTGCACGCTCAGCGCCCGGAGCCCGGACTCACGGTTCTCTCGCCGGTCATCTTGTCCAGCGCGTCCTGGAACTGGCTCCCGGACTCCAGCAGGTCCAGCTCCACCGCCTTGTAGGCCACATTCATGTCCTGGAACAGCTTCTTGGCCATGTGACAGTAGGAACACGATGTCTTGGAGTAAATCACCACACAGTTATCAGAAATGGTTTCCTGGAATCGAATCAGACAAGTCGTTTTAATGCCGCACGTTATCTTCTGGAAGGCAACGGCGATACTGTTGGGAGGGTATGAATGTTGGGGTCTCGGGATTGACTCGGGGCTCGGACTAAGTCTCCATCACCTCCTTTCTCATCGGCGGCTTTTCCAGGGAACACTGTTAGGAACAAAGTGGGCAACAGATGGGAAGTGTTGGCACAGAGCCCCAACAGCGGTAGCCAGTTCATAGATGGCCGACACCTGTGTGCGGGACACAGCACTCAACACGTGACCTTTACCCAGCCCTGAGAGAGGCCTGCCGTCCACTCCTCTCCACTCCACCCCGAGGAGAGTGAGGCCCGGAGAAGGGAACTAACTCGTGATCCTCAGCTACTCAGCAGCAGAGCCGGGATTTGAACCCAGAGCCTCCGGTCCCACAGTCCAGGCACATCCTCGCTGTTACTCTACTCCTCAGACATTCAGTAAGTGTTCACGGGCCAACTCCTCACCTGCCTCAACTGTCGTGGTGAGGACTGAGGCACGATTTATCTCAAATGGCAGGCTTTAGCCCGGCCAGCATGGCTCAGGGGTTGAGTATTACCTATGATCCAGGAGGTCACGGTTCGATTCCCGGTCAGGGCACATGCCTGGGTTGTGGGTCGGCATGCAGGAGGCAGCCGATCAACGATTCTCTCTCATCATGGGTATTTCTATCTCTACTCCCTGTTCCTCTCTAAAATCAATTTTTGAAAAATCCGCACATATGTGGGTGAAAAGTTTCAGGGTGAGCTGAAACGGGACAGGGCCAAGCGTCCTGGGACCCTCTCCTTCCCTCCAGCCCATCCCTGCTGAGCAGCTCCTGACTCTGTGTCCTTATTTTAAGAGGCAGCCCCCCCACTGTGGTCCTGGCACGGCGGTCACATTACAGCTGTGCGGGAAGGCTGTGTTCCCCACAGGCGAGGGACTGTGCTGAGGGTGGCAGAGGTCAGTGGTGGGACGGGGAAGGAGAACAGCACTGTCTTGCAGGCTGCCGGCGGAGGACGACATGCAGACCAGAGGGAACTCCCCGGACTTGGCTGTGCACAGCGTCCCCCAGCCCCTGCGCCCTCCCCACTCACCTGGATCTGATTCAGGGGAGCAGTTTCCGGCGACGACGTGCTGGTCCCCATCCTGCGAGGAAGCGTGAAGGTGGCAGTTCGTCAGACAGAAAAGGTATCAATGCAGGTGAGGTTCCCTCCAACTACCAAGCCCTCTGCAGTCACGCCTGAGGCCTGGAGCGCCTACTGTGTGCTGAACAGGCAAAAGGCGAATGTGTCCCTAGAAACACACACCCTCGGGCCCCAATGAGCAGCCAGCCGCCTTTCCGCTCAGCTCAGGGCCCCCAGCCCTGCACACTGGTCAGAGCAGCAGGAGGAGGCGGGTGGGGACACGTCCCAGGCGGGTGCAGGGACGCACAGCGGCCGCACAGGTGTGCCGGCTGCAGGGCGGCCGGGACCGCGGGGCGGGCCCACATCAGCCGGGAGATCGGGCCTCCACGCCGGCCCGGGGCCACTGGTTCCGGGGAGCGGGCTGCGCGGGGGAAGCCCTGTCCCCGGTGCAGCCCGAGGCGACCTCCGCAGCAATGGAGCCCCGGCCCTGGGAGACGCGGCCGCTGGGCAGGAAGCGCCCCGGGTCCCCCTGCAGCGGCAGCAAATGGCCCCGCAGACGCACCAGCAGGAGCTGCAGCCCGGGGCGCCCGCGCACCATGCGGGGCGCACAGGCTGTCATCCTCCCGGCCCGGCTGAAACCCCACACGGCGGCCATCGGGGGAGGGAGCGCCCAAGCGGACGCCACCCAAGTGTTCGCACCCCGCGTTCCAGGGCCCGGCGGGCGCTCAGGGCCCCATCCTCTGCGCACCCTGGGGCCCAGCTGGGGGGGATCGTCTCCGCGCCTCGCTGAGCCCGCCCTGCCGGCCGCTCCCCGTACCTGGAGGCCGCCCCGCCGAGCCGGGCCGCCGAGCCGCTCCCGCTCCGGGCGAGCCGCGTCCCCGCCAGCACCGAGCGGCGCCAGATCATGGTCCTACAGCAGGACCCGGAGGGGACACCGGGAAACGCGACCCCGGAGCGCCCGCCCCCGCCGCTGGCCCCGCCCCCGCGCGCAGGACGTCGCCCAAGCACGCTCCGCGACGTCTCCGACACTGGTCCCGCCCCCACGCTACGCTCCGCCCCGTCCCCCCCTTAAGGCCACGCCTCCAGCTGGCCCCGCCCCGCACGCTGGACCACGCTCTCCGCTCAAAGCCCTGCCCCCGCGCGCCCCGCCACGCCTCCGCCAGCTGGCCACGCCCCCGCACTCCAGGCCCCGCCCCTCGGCTCTGACAGCGCCGCCGCCGTGTGGGCGCCGCCCAGGGGTCGTGGGCGCCGCGGCGAGGCTTCTCCCTCCCCCGTGGCCCGCGGGGGGCGGCCAGGAGCGCGGCCACCGGGCGAGTCCCCCCTACCCCCATGTATACGCAGCCGCCAGGCTGCCCGCCAGCTTCTCACCTGTCGGCCTCCATGCGCTGTCCGAGCCCCGCACCGGTCCGTCCGGGTTCGGGCGGCTCCCAGAGGCTCACAGGCAGGAGGGGGCGGCGCGCGGGGTGGGGGCCCACATCGCGGGGGGCCGAGGAGGAGGAGGAGGAGGAGGGCTGTCCGCACAGCCCGCGTCCCGACGCTCACCTGAGGATGACAGCCGCCTCCCTGCTTCCCGTCCGACAGGTCTCCGTGCGGTGACGTCACAGCCAGGTGTGCCGCCCGCAGAGAAGCCCGGATCTGGAGCCCACGGGCGGCAGACGTGGGCGTGCCGGGGCTTTATTTACATCCGCAGGTAAAGGGGGAATGGAGAACGCTCATTCCACAGGATCCGAATAAAATAAATGAGAAGATGGAACTTAGGAGCCCAGAGGCGTGTTGCCATGGCTTTCCGACGCCAAGCCTGCCGCCCAGCCAGGGTAGCCATGGCCCTGGTGAGCCTTCATGGTAATGGACTGAGGGCTCGGAGATCCAAGGCCAGAGGTGCAGTGGCATGCCTAAAACGCCCACCAAGGATTGGAACCACCCAGGCCTTTTTGGGTCCTTCACGCTCAATAAGCTAAGTCTAAGATTCCTGTTACCAAGGTAAAAAGAATTTTTGACAGTTCTCTTTCCACTTTTGCAAGTCGGCTCTGCTTCATGACTTCATAAAAGGGTGGAATTTAGCTGCAAAAATCCGACATCCCAAAAGGCTTTATAAATCCTGCTTCATAAATCCACAATGAACTTTGAACATTGAGGCATGCTACTTACAGTGTTGTGGGTTTGTTTTGTTTTTATAAAATGACAGCTGATTAGGCTGGACTGGCAGCGTGGCTCAGTAGTTGAGCATCGAGTGACCTATGAACCAGGAGGTCAGGGTTCAGTTCCCTGTCAGGGCACATGCCTGGTTGTGGGCTCCATCCCCAGTGTGAGACATGCAGGAGTCTCGACACTACATCTTTCACTCCACAATATTCTCTAAAATTAATTTAATAAACTTAAAGTTTTAAGTCTTAGTTAAACTATAGATAAGTTGAGTAAAACTTGATATCATACTTAATAACAACATAATTTATTGATAAAATTAAATTCCTTACAATTTACCTTAAAACATCCATAAAATCAAGTCATGACAATGACTGACAAACACTAATGTGAACAATAGCTTTGCATCTCCATGGAAAGTTTGGGTAAGTCAGGTTTGTAGGTTGTGGTTTTTAATTTTAGGAACGATTCCAGGTTCTCATCAATAAGATGACGTCTCCATTTATTCTTGATAAGGTTCATGCTTGTAAAGGACTGTTCGCATAAATGTGTAGACCCGAATAAGGAAAGAACAGCAAACGCCAGTTTTCTCAGTTGGTCATATGAGTCGGGAATAGTGTTCCAGGTGTTAAAAATCAACACGTCTTCCTTCTCCAGGGCTTTCAAAGTTCACATTTGTTTTTCTCCAATATTTCTGTATCAGCACAAAGACGCTCAAATTTCGAGCTCCACAATTCTTTGTTTTTTAAATCCAGCAATTGCATCTCAAAGTCGCCAATGTCAATATTAAAGGGAGAAAAATTTAATTCTGTCTCAGTAGCATCAAGAGGTTTTTTTTAACAAAGGCTAGCGTCGCTTTGCTTTGCTGTTTCTGATTTCCTGAAACCTGGTGAGAAAAGCTTCCCTCCTATTTAGAAGTGTTGTTCTGAAATAGCAAATGTCAATGTCAGAATTATTTTCTTGGCGATGTTTCAACAGGCTTGGAAAGTGAATCAAAGATTCCCCTTTCAAAATCTTGAGCAAAAAGAGCTAATTAGTTTTTGAATAAAATAACTTCTTCTAACATGAAAAAAAATTGTGTTTCCTTTGCCCTGTAGCTTACAATTAAGCTGACTTAGATGAGACGTAACGTCTCCCGTGAAATAAAAGTTTTGGACCCACTGATCGTTTGATAGTTCTGGATAGTGAACACCCTTCTCCAGGAGAAATGCTTTAATTTCTGTTAATAAGGAAGCAAAACGTTTCAAAACATTTCCTCTTGATAACCAACGGACCTTGTTTTGCAGCAGCAGGTCTGCGAACTCACTCTCCAGTGCAACTAAAAATTCTTCGAATGGGTGATGATGAAGAGCTTTAGTTATAATGGAGTTGATAATGTTAATCACCAATTCCATAACTTTGCACATTTCTTCTGGAAATGTCTGCGCATAGAGCGCTTCTTGATGAATGATGCAATGGTAGGTAAGTATCTCGTGGTTTATTTTCTCTTTCAAAATAGCAACACACCCGTTTCTTACGCCGGTCATACTTTCTGCCCCGTCTGTTGAAATTGAGACAATTTTATCGAGAGGAATATGATGTTTTTCAATGCCCTCCATTACAGCATTTGCTGTATCCTCTCCACATGTTTGACCTTTGAGTGGAAATAATCCTAAAAGTTCTTTAGGATCTGTAGGTGAAATAAATCGTACAAAAAGTGAAACTTGCGCTGTATCATTTATGTCACAAGACTCGCCCACTGCTATTGATAAAGCTGAAACCAATTTAAGATCTTCGACTTGCTGGTCGGTTATATTCGAAGACATTTTGACTGTTCTAGCTTTCGCTGTTTTAGCAGACAATGGTAACGCTTTAATTTTTCTTATTACATCTGCTTTGTTCTGAAAGTCCCGAAATAGCTCTTTGGATGCATTTATAAAACAACTTTTTATGTATTCACCGACTGTATATGGTTTTTCCCTCTTTGCAATCTCTTGACGGACCACAAAACTTGCAATATTAACATTGTTGGAAGACTGCATCCAGTAATTAAATTCAGAACTTGATCTCTCTTGACTCTTCTGAAGTTCCTCAACTGCTTTCTTCCTTGCATCACTGACAGGATATTTAGTACTAAATGACCCGTGTGTAGTTGTAAAGTGTCTCTCCAAATTTGATTTCTTGTTATGCGCCAATTTTTCCTGACAGATAAGACAGGTCGGAAGGCCATTTAAGCTTTGAATAAACGTGAAAGTCTCGGTCCATTCAACTTTAAATTCACGGTTTTCATCTTTGCTGCTTCTTTGTAGCCATGTCAAACAGGGCACCTAAAAAAAGTTTCACTTAATAATAATACTAGAGGCCCAGTGCACGAAATTCATGCACCAATTCATGTGTGTCTCTCAGTCCAGCCTGCACCATCTCCAATCTGGGACCCCTCGAGGGATGTCCGATTGCCTGTTTAGGCCCAATCCTTCTCACAATCCAGGACTGCTGGTTCCCAACTGCTCGGTTGCCTGCCTTCCTGATTTCTCCTAACCACTTCTGCCTGCCAGCTTGATCACCCCCTAACTACTCCCCTGCCAGCCTGATTGATGCCTAACTGCTCTCCTGCTAGCCTGATTGCTCCTAACTGCCTTCCCCTGCAGGCCCAGTTGCCCCCATCTTCCCTCCCCTGCAGGCCTGGTCACCCCCAACTTTCCTCTCCTGCAGGCCTGGTTCCTCCCAACTGCCCTTCCCTGCAGGCCCAGTCACTCCCAACTTCCCTACTCTGCCAGCCTGGTCACCCCTAACAGCCCTCCCTTGCAGGCTTGATCACCCCCAATGGCCTCCCTTGCAGGCCTGTTCCCTCTCCACTGTCCTCCCCTGCTGGCCATCATGTGGTGGCCATCTTGTGTCCACAAGATGGGGGCAGCCATCTTGTGTGTTGGAGTGACGACCAATTTGCATATTACTCTTTTATTAGATAGGAAAGGCTCCAACACAAAATAATTACAATCCTTAAGTTGATGACAAACATGTCTGTAGGATTTGCAGCTGGTTGTAAAAATGCAGGTAACTTTACGCTTCGACTAGTAGGTACTTTTGTCACCCGCGCTCGATTTGTGGACACGATTGGCATTAACCACTGCACAATGAGACTGCTGAGACTGGCTCACCCCCAGCTGCCCGACACCCCTAACTTCTTCTGACGCCATTTCTTCAGAATAGACTCGCCCAGGCCGAAAACTGACTTCGGCTCATGGTCCACCAAGTTTCAACCACACTGTACGTGCGCGCCCACACGTGGTATTCTGTGGGAGAGCCACACTCAAGGGGCCAAAGAGCCGCATATGGCTCGAGAGCCGCAGTTTGCTGACCACTGGCCTATGCCATAGGCCCTTCCAGGATCACCCCATCAACCTAAACTCATGTACACCAGAGAGGGCCTTGTTATAACAGAAGACTTCCAACGCTCAGTAACTCAAGGGTTTTGGGTGCTCAGTGCTAGGAACCAAACGAGAAGTCAAAACCGTTTGGGGGGCAGAAGAGGGGGACCCATAGCGGGAGATGGGACTTGAGGTACCGCTCTGCGCATGCGCAAGACGGTGACTTCCGCTTACATACCTCGTACGTGCGCGCCCGCGCTCTCCGTACGTGCGTCATACGTGCGCGCCGGCGTCCCCTGCGCCGCGAATTTCGCGCTGGGAGTCGGCACCTGGCGGAGCGGGAGGCTGGGAGGGGCGTGTTGCCGGGCGACGGGCACGCCCTCCCCTGACGGCGGCGGCGGCGGGGGCGGCGACGCGGCGTGGCGCCGGGGTGGGGGGGCGGGCACGCAGTCAGGCGTTCTCCGCGGGCAGCCGGGGGCGGGGCCTCGCTTGCTAGCGCGGGGTCCTCGGCGGCCGGGGCGGCTCCTGCCCCTTTTACTGGCGACGGCGAGCGCGGCGGCCTCAGTGGGAGCGCGGCGGCGGCGGCGGCGGAAGCGGAGCCGGAGGCGGCGGCGGGGCGGCGGGCGGCCGGGGCGGCGGCGGGCGCGGCCGGAGGCGGGCGCGGCGGCGAGGGCGGCGGCGGCGGCGGCGGCGCGCGGGGCCGGCGGCGGCGGCGGCGGCGAAGATGGCGGACGTGCTGAGCGTCCTGCGCCAGTACAACATCCAGAAGAAGGAGATCGTGGTGAAGGGGGACGAGGTCATCTTCGGCGAGTTCTCCTGGCCCAAGAACGTCAAGACCAACTACGTGGTGTGGGGGTGCGTGTGCGGGGCCCGGGTGCCGCCCCCCTCCCGGGCCCTGGGGGCGGGGACTCGGGGGGCTGCGGCCGGGGGTGCGGAAAGTTTCTCCGGGGCCCGAGGTGCACTTCGCCCGGGGTTTGGGGGGGCCCGGAGGCAGCCGTGCACCCCGGACCTGCCCCGTGGCCCCCCCCCCCGAGCTACCTGCCCGGGTCCGGGGTGCAGCGGGGGGCGCCCCGGGATCCCCCCCCCCCCCTTGTCCGCCCTGGACTCGGGTCCCCTCGCTCCGGGCCGCGAGTTGTGTGTCCGCCGCCCTCGCGGCGCCCGGCCGGGCTCCTCCTGCGCCTTCGGGGTCCCCGGAGCGAGGAGGGGGGGCTGGTCCCCCGGGGCGGTGCCCGCAGGTGACGGCGGGCTGGGGCGCCCCCAAAAGGGGAGGATCCGGGGAGCTCCGGGTCCGAGGGGGTCGGGGGTGTGGTGTCCGGAAGAGACACCTGTTTTGGGGGGTGGGGATAGGGGTTGGGGTGCGTCGATCCACGTGGGGCGCCCTGAGTTGGTTGAAGCCGTGCAGGAAGCGCGGGGATCCCGGTCCGGCGGCCGCCGGGGCCTTTTCGGGGTCCGTCTGTCCGTCTGTCCCGCCCTCCCACCCCCCCCCCCCCCGATCGTGGGGTTTCCATTGGGGTTCGGAGGGGCCCGGCCGCAGGAGCGCCCCTGCTTGTCAGGCTCGGTCTGGGGGGAGCCGCGGGCTTTGGGAGCCGCTGAGCAGCCGGGGGGCGGGGATGGGATGTGGGGTTGGTTTTTATTTTTATTTTTTATTTTTTGGGGGGGCTTGGTGTTTAGGTGTTTTTCCTAACAAGCGGATGATGTGTGTGTGTGTGTGTGTGTGTGTGTGTGTGTGTGTGTGTTTCTCAGAAGGCTTCGCAGGGGTGATTACATCGTCCAGAAGTTTTAGCCGGTTTTCTTTCGTTCGTGTTTGCCTTGATGGTTAAGGACACCCGGGTTCAGCCTGAGAAACGGGAGCATTCGTGGGGCCCGGGGTGGACTTGACGGATCAGGTCTTGGGGGTCAGGAGAGGCTTCCTGACTTGGGTTTGGCCGGTAGACGGGCTGCAGATGGTTTCTGGGATGAATGAATGAATGAATGAATGAAGGCAGGCATGAAGGAGCTGCGAGGAGGGGGCAGGGATTCTGGGGGTGCATGGCTGGCTGGGGTGCGGCTTCCAGGACCAGGGAGCTGGCTGCCTAACGGGCCGGAGAGCCGGAGAGAGCAGATGTTTGGGCAGCGCCGGGAAAGGGGGGGAAAGGGGGTGCGCAGGCCTCACACTCGCACAGTGATCCCCCCACGGAGGTCTTTGCACTCACCGTCCCCCTCCACGTGTGACCACGCGCCTCGTAGCATCTCTCACCCTCGGTGCAGGCGGTGCCCGGTGACTGTGTCTCTGTCCCGTGAACAAGCTTTGTCGCTGTTGCCTGTGTCCGATCGCACGGGGCGGCGGTGGACAGCATGTGTGGTCTGGAGTAGCCCCCCCTCAGAGGAGACGGGGTGAAGGCTGGGACACAGGGCTGGGCTGATCAGAGCGGTCAGACCCTCAGGTGTTCCAGCCGGGAGTGTGGTAGGGAGGCGGGGTTGATGGCTGATGTTGTTGTTGGCTTGTTGCATCGCAGGGAGAGTCCTTGTGCGTGTGCATCGCTGCTGTGGTGTGAGGGCTGTCAGGACTGGAGCTCTGCAGCTCATCGCTGTGTTTGTTGCTTTCTCATCACTTTCATTCATGCTCCTGAGTCCTCTTCAATGTGTTTCTGATTAGCTTCCCGGGCCAGCAGAGCCCGGAACCTGGGCCGGGCCACGTTCTGCAAAAGGCACGGTGCCTCCGGGCACAAATAGCGTGTGCTTCCCGGCTTCCCGTCTGCCTGTGTGTTCCTTTCGCCCAAATGCCAGCGCCGCTTCCCAGATGTCATACTAGGTGCCCCAGCCCCGTCAGGCCCAGGTGGGGAGTCACGGGCAGAACCGAGTTCAGAGCTGCGAGTAAAACGCCCGCATTGCTGTTCCAGGACCGGGAAGGAGGGCCAGCCCAGAGAGTACTACACCTTGGATTCCATCTTGTTCCTTCTCAACAATGTGCACCTTTCCCACCCTGTCTACGTCCGGCGGGCAGCCGTGAGTACAGCTCATTTGAAAACGTTTTTATCTACCGTCTGGCACGGGTACCTTCCTGCCCGGCGTTCAGACCCAAAGGATGAGCGGCTCCTGGCTGTCCCGATCACCCCACTGTGATCATTGTCGATTTTTTACATGTAAAGTGGGGGGGGGGGGGGTTAGGACAACAGAAGTTTTGAGGTTATTTGTAGAGATGTTTTTAAAAAACTTTACTTGTCTGTGGAAGAACCTGGTATTCAGAACTCGAGTTTTATCCCTAGAAAACGTTTTGGACATCAGAAAGACTTGAGAAATAACGGACAGCTTTTTAAAATTAAATGTTTATACAAACTTTTCTTGATAAATTAATTAGTTTTCCGTTTTGCCCGATTTCTGCATTTCAGTGTTTGAACACCGCTTTTCTGAACAAGAAATACACACTGAATGTCAATTTTTAAAAAATATATTTTTATTGATTTCAGAGAGGAAGTGATTTCAGAGAGGAAAGAGAGAAACATAAATGATAGAGAGAATCATTGATTGGCTGCCTCCTAATCGCTCCACACTGGGTATCGAGCCTGCAACCCGGGCATGTGCCCTGACCGGGAATCAAACCCGGGACCCTTCAGTCTGCAGGCCGACGGTCTACCCACTGTGCCACACCAGCTGGGGTTATGACATTTATCTTTACCAAGTTTCTTATCATGGTTACTGATTTGATTTCTAACTTAAACTTTCGATTTCAGACTGAAAACATTCCTGTGGTTAGAAGACCCGACCGAAAAGATCTGCTTGGCTATCTCAACGGGGAGGCATGTGAGTACGTTATAATGGCGGTCACTCTGGGGCAGACAGCTCTTTCCCTCTGGAATGAGAATGCGCTGCGTGGGCCGGCTTTCCTTTCCCTCCCGTGACAGCGGGCGGCCAGGCCTGGTCTCACCCACAGCCACTCGCCTCTCCTGCTGCTCTCCCACCGAGAGCCTGCCCTCCTTGGCATCGGGCATTTCTGGTGTCTTTCTGCTCATCGTCCACCTCCATCTTGTTTTGCACACTTCCTTCCCTCAGTGAGAGGGGCCACGCTCACCCCCTTCCCTCCCAGATTTCTGGGGTAAAAAATTGATTTCAGAGAGGAAGGGAGAGAGAGAGAGAAACATCAGCGATGAGATAGCATCATGGATCAGCTGCCTCCTGGGGATTGAGTCCATAGCCCGGGCCTGTGCCCTTGAGACAGGACCCTTCAGTCCACAGGCCAGCACTCGATCCCCTGAGCCACGCCAGCCAGGCTGGGCATGTGGAATTTAACCCAGAAATGCAGGGCCAAACCCTCCTCCCGTCTCCTGGGAACAGAACTAACATAGCAGACTCACTCAGGCCCCGCTCGCTCGGGGATGGGCTGCCTGTTCGTGTAGATGCTCGGCCATTCCATCCTGGCAGCCTGGCCGCCTCCCACCCTGACCCACGCCTTCTCTTCACACCTCTGCGTGGCTCTCCCCCGGGTCCCCACACTGTTTCCTTCCGTCCTCCCCGCCTGCTGTCAGTGACCTGTTTGTGTCTCACCTGCCAAGGCGTCCGTCCTGTGGTTTCCCTTCACACTTACCCTGCCCTGCCCCATCTGGCTTCCGCCCGCGCCTAACCTCACCTTCCTCCAGTCTTCCCGGCTCTCTTACTGTTCTAACCCCACAGCCTTCACTGCGCTCTCTGTGCGGCATGGTTCCCTTTCTCCCACTCTGTCTGATCTGTCAGGGAGCACTTACCTGATTCCACTAAAACATAACGCTGCTTTCCCTCATCTCCAAGTCTGTGTACGCTCCTTCCTGACTTACCGTTCGTCAAATCCCCGAGGCTGGCCTGGATTCTGCATGTATTTGTTCGCTTAGAGGTTGTCTGTCCCGCCCATGAGAGGGTAAACTCGGGGGCAGGCCGTTAATACCCAGCTTTGGATCAGTGCTTAGTCGCAGGTGCTTACCTGGACAGGTGCGTCGTCTGCATTTGCGTCGTGCAGAGCATCTTGCAGAGCACGCTACAGTGATCCGGAAACGGTCTTCCTTTCCCGGGGTGGGGTGTGTTCTTGGAGTCCTCACTCGGTGTCTTGTCTCCTGTCCTGCTCCATGGATTTCCCAGGAGGTGGCCTCGCACAGTCCCGCGTGGCGTGGAGAGACCAACATCAAGAGCTGGGACTCCTGCCCTTGATCCATCCCTCATCACTTCCCGTAGTTTCTGTGGGAGAGAGAATTCTGGTTTTTAGGCATATTGCTTTGCTAATTAAAAAAAAAAAAAAAAAAAGGCTAGCTTAGTCCTCTAATGAAAAAGTGGACCAGATCTTAAGACAGTCCGTGTTCTCAGAGAGGAAGACAACAGCTGAAAGGTACCAGTTCTTAACATGTTTATATATTTAACGTGATCCCAATAAAAATCCGGAGGGGTGGGTGGAACTAGCAAAGATGATTCTAAAATTCACTTGGTAGCCCTGACCGGTGTGGCTCAGTGAATAGAGCATCATCCCGTGGACTCAGGAGTCCCAGGTTCGATTCCGGTCAAGGGCACGTACCTTGGTTGCCGGGCACATTCCCAGTAGGGGGTGTGCGGGAGGCAGGTGATTGATGTTTCTCTCTCAATCGATGTTTCTAACTCTCCCTCCCTTCCTCTCTGTAAAAAAAAAAAAAAAAAAAAAAAAAAAAAAAAAAAAAAGAAAATCAATAAAATATATTAAAAAAAAATAAAATTCCCTTGGTAGAATAAATGTCACAAAAACTTGAAAAAGAGCAGTAAGAAAATACTAGCTTTCTAGAGTTTAGAACTTACAATAAAGCCCTAATAATTTAAAACATGAAAGAATAAGCTGATAGAACAATGTCATTGTTAGATATTAAGGTGTGTGAGTTTAGTGTAATTAAAAAGACATTTCCAATTAGTGGTGAAAGGTGGAATTACTCAGGTAGTAGGTCGGTAAAAAGTAAAAATTGTGGCATTATACAAAAATGACAAACTGGGAAAAGGTATTTCAACTCCAAGTAAAAGGGCCAATCTCTCTGGTAACATGAAGTGGCCTTAGTGCATTATGTTGGCACAGGTCACAGAAAAGGAAATAAAATAATGTGGAAAACGCTTCGTCTCACTCCTCATAGAATTGCAAACTCAAACTATACAGAGAAGCATTTTCTTTTTTTAATCGATTAAAATCTGGAAGCTTGATAATACCCTGAAGCTGTGAGGGAACAGATTTTCATACAGTGTTGGTTGTAGTGTGATTTGCCATAACCCCAGTGAGGAAATTTTGCAGTAATCTGCCATTCCTGGACGACCCGGAAATCCTGCATCTGGGCTCTATCCGGAGCCCCGTTTGGAAATGGATGAAGCAGTGTATTTATAAAGTCTGCATTGTGCCCTCGCTTGTGCTGGCAAAAGACGGGATTGAACTGGCCGTTAATAGGGAACTTGACATTACATTAATCCACACAGTAGAACACTGTGCAGCTAGAAAAAAAAAGTTGAAAAAAACAACGCTCCACAAAAATTGTGCTATTGTTTGTGTAAAAACAGGGAAAAATAACAGTGTGATTGTGTATTTCTTGTATCTATAGAAGGAGCTGTGGAAAGCTGCACCGGAGATTGGTGGTAGTCACGTGGGGGCGGGGTGGGGATTAGGTGAAGGACAGGTACCCCCTTGGTACACCCTTCCGTTATTTGAACCATTCAGAAGCAAATGGTTTGTTTAAGATAATTTTTCTACCAATTATGAGTAAACACTGCATTACGGAGTGAATGCTAACTGAACAGATAATGCTTCTCTCACATACGTACGTATGTGTGCTTACTAATGATTAACCGTGCTTCCGTGTGCACGTGCTGGGATACCGCAGTGTGTTCTTGGAAGTGACCAGTGGATTTTAGTCAGATTATAGCAATAATTTGTAAGTTAAATTGTTAAAACATAGTTTGTCCAACTAATAGATTTTCTAATATAAATTAATCTTCTTTTAAAAATGTTTTTTATTGATTTCGGAGAGGAGAGAGAGATGGAAACATCAATAATGAGAATCATGCATCTGCTGCCTCCTGCGCGCCTTCTACTGGGGATTGAGCCCGCAACCTGGGCATGTGCCCTTGACCTGAATTGAACCCAGGATCCTTCAGTCCGCAGGCCACACTCTATTCACGAGCCAAACCAGCCAGGGCACAAATTACCCTTTTATAATGAAAAGCGCTTACAGCCCTGGCCGTTATGGACCGGTCAGAGTGTTGTCCTGTTCATCAAAAGGTGGCAGGTTCATTTTCCGGTCAGGGTGCATACCAGAGGCAACCCATCTATGTTTCTCTCCCCACCCCCCCTCCTCATCCTATGCCTCTAAGATTATAAAAATAAAATAAAATGCATTTACAAAGCTGCTTTAAAACTTATTCTGTACTTAGGAAAATCATTGTATCTGAAGTAATATAACAAAAAACCTTGAGCTTTTCATTTGTAATAATATCCGCTATCCATGTTCAAATATTGACCTCACACAAATCTTTTTTAATCTTCAGCAACGTCGGCAAGCATAGACCGAAGCGCCCCTCTCGAAATAGGCCTTCAGCGGTCTACTCAAGGTACGTCTTGTTGAATGTTTATCTTGGATTTTTAAGAGCCTATCCCCAAACTTTACATTCCCCCCCACACCCAAACTATACATTTATTGCCTTTTTTTTTTTTTTTTTTTTTTTTCTTACAGTCAAACGAGCTGCAGATGAAGTTTTAGCAGAAGCAAAGAAACCACGGATTGAGGTAACAGTTTCATTGTAAGGTGATTCCTATTGTTAAAGAACTCGGGACTGTGTAGCAATAAGAAATCCTTCTCATAGTATCCTAGGAGCTTGTTTTATGGGAAAACTAGAATGAAGCTATGTGATGGACCGATGACTTTATCTTCCTTATTTATTTATTTATTTATTTATTTATTTAAATTTTATTTATTTATTTTTTAATATTCCTTATTGATGAAAGTGCTGGAATAGATCAGCGGTTGGCAAACTTTTTTTTATGAGGAGTCAGATAGTAAACATTTTAGGTTTTTTTGGGTCATTGAGTCTTTGTTCAGCCACTCCACTATGTTCTAATACAATATCATTTCTACTCTGATCCCACATATATTTATTATGATTGTCTTTATGGAAGTGAAAGCAATCTTGAAGCTGACACAGGGCTAGCTTTGTAGGCAAAAGAATATGTGAGGGAACGTCACCTGCAGTGCTTTTTCCTTCTAAAAATGAAACTTTAAAATACTCACCGAGCTGCGACTGTGCCCAGGATGAAGAGTGTGTGCGCCTGGACAAGGAGCGGCTGGCTGCTCGCCTGGAGGGGCACAAAGAGGGCATCGTGCAGACGGAGCAGATTAGGTAAGGGCCCCTTCAGCGGGAGGAAGTTTAAGGCACCTTCCTTTCACATTTAGAAGGGTGTTCGATTTGGCTTGAGGTATGCGGGTACGCCTTAGATTTCTAGGGAAAGTTGCACAGAGTTAGGTAAAAGGAGTCAGATGGTAGATGCATCTTCAGCATCTGCTATGAAGCACCTGCATTCTAATACCCTGTTTCTCCGAAAATAAGACAGTGTCGTATATTAACTTTTTTTCCCGAAGTTGCGCTAGGTCTTATTTTCAGGGGATGTCTTATCTTTCCATATGCTAGGTCTTATTTTCAGAGGATGTCTTATTTTCGGGGAAACACGGTAGAATAAACCAGTACACTGTGTCAACTGTAAGGGTGCCCAAACACTTCCTAACTTTTCCTCATTTTACATTGTGGAAAATGACACTGAAGTCCAGATTGTCTCCTTAATGAAATCTACGCTCAGTGTTGTCTTTCTTTATGGTTCTGAACGTCTCTTTACTATTTTGCCTATTATTTGGAAACCAAGTAAAGAAAAGGAAACATCAAAATAGGGTTTCACCTTCCAGACATGAAAAGGAATATATGTTTATGTGGCACATAAAAGCCTCCTATTACAGTATATTGTACGTTATGACATGCAGGTTTGAAACTTCAAAGTAAATTTCAGGGAAAACCTAAATTTTGAATTCTTTGCAGAATGAAATTTTCACTCCCAATTCCTTCCAAGCTATGTGTATGTGTGTACTTTGCCTAGGTAGAGGGATGTCAACAAATGAGAGTATGAGAAAATACATAAATTAAAGCACCCATAGTAATGAGTTCTCTTTTGGGTGGGGAAGACAATGAAAAAATGTGAAGATTTCTGTTGCATTGGCCCGGCGTCTAAGGAATTAGTACTATTTCTATAAAATCTTACGTGATCATAAAATATGAAGCATGTCGTTTTTAGATAAGAAAACCTTAATTATTGCCACTTAAACTTAGATATTGCCGTGAACTTACAAATGTAACCCAGTGTATTTTGATGTGCTCAAGAGATCCTTTAAAAAATGCGATCATTAAAAAAAAAAAAAATGAATTGCTTTCAGGTCTTTGTCGGAAGCTATGTCGGTGGAAAAAATTGCAGCAATCAAAGCGAAAATTATGGCGAAGAAAAGGTCTACCATTAAGACGGACTTAGACGACGACATAACGGCGCTGAAACAGCGGAGCTTTGTGGACGCCGAGGTGGACGTGACCCGGGACATTGTGAGCAGAGAGCGCGTGTGGAGGACGCGCACGACGATCCTCCAGAGCACGGGCAAGGCAAGTGCAGAGCGGGGCCCGCTCCTGGGATCTGAGAGGAGGGCTTCAGAGGCTCGGGAGGTGTCCCCTCACCTCGGCACGAGCAGGAGAACGTGGATCGCTCGGTGGCCTGTTTGCCATGTGGTCCGCCTTGTGGTTGGTTGGTGGCCACCAAAGAGGCTGATGGGAAAGTCTTGATTTGCCCTCATTCGTCATCCCAGGAGCGGCCCACTTTCCCTGTTGACCAGATTTGGGGGTAAACCCAGTGAACAGGGAATATTGATGTCCAGCTCTCTGGTTAATATTAATTTTTCTCTCCACAAAGTAGAGAGCTTGGGAAATCAGTCAGTGAACATTCATTGCATGTATTTTCTGCATTATATTCCGGTTTGTGGATATAGCAATACTCATCTATTCCTTATTAATGAAGTCATCCTGTTTTTTAATCCTCACCTGAGGACATTTTTTTCTATTGATTTTTAGAGAAAGTGGAAGGGAGAGGGGGAGAGAGGAGCACTGATGTGAGAGAGACACATCGATTGGTTGCCTCCTACATGCTCCCGACCAGGGCGGGGAGCCTGCAACCGAGGTACGTGCCCTTGACCGGAATCGAACCGGGGACTCTTCAGTCCTCAGACAGCTCTGTCCACAGAGCCAAATCGGCAAGGGCTATTTTGTGTGTGTGTGGCTTTTTTGTTGCTGCTGGATTGTGGGATTTTCTTCTCTCTTCTGCTTTCCCCCTTCCTATTCACGATTACCAACAATGCATTAAAAAACACCCTTGTACAGAAGCATTTGCATTCATGTGCGTACAGCAGAAGTTGAAACTCTAGAAGCCAATTGCTGGTTAAAGGCCCATACCCATACCTTAAGGGGCCTCCAGAAAGGTGGTGCTGGTGTTTCACCTTCATAGATTCGGCTGTCTTTTCCTCCCCCACTGTCCAGGGTTCCCCCAAATTTAGTTCCCCCCTGACGCCCAGCTGTTAGTAGTGATGAGTGGTGAGACAGTTTGTGGAGGTGTGAGATGGCTGATAAAACTGAACTTTTATAGGAGTTTCATTTGCAGATTTGGGGTTCTGGCCTCACCTTGACCCCACCATTTCGGCAGGAATACAGCTGCTAGAAAAGAGAATGTGACAGGAAGACTCGTTTTGTGCTCTGACTTGTCTCAGGCACTGGAGTCAGCACTGGGACTCATTCCCCAGACCTTAGGTCAGGGAGAAGTCAGACTGCGAGGAGCTTCTGTTTGATACTCATTCTTACTGCCCGCGGTGGGGCTCCTAGTAGTTGGATATTGTCGCTTACATTGTTCTGCCAACATTTATTATAACTGCTGAAGAATCTGCATTTCACAGCAATGGAAGGAAACATGGGGGATATGCCCCGCCTTCCTTTTAGACCAGACGTGAAGTGTTCAGATAACTGAGATCAACAACTTCTATTGAGCTCTAGGTGGCAGGATTGTGCCATCTTTGAAAGCGCAGTGTTTTCATTGAGTGTTGGTACCACTGTTAAGTTTGAGAAATAGTAATTGAAGAAGTGCTTGGGAGCTAGGTTTGCTTCTGTTTTACCATTTTAAAAATAACTAATTTGACTGGTGTTTTCTCTGTAGACTGTTTTTTTTCCTGCTAAACTCAAAAACTTTCTAGCTTCTCATAGCCGTACAAGACCTTAAGATTTTAGACAGAACTTATTTCTTGAGTTTTTGGAATAAAAGATAGGTTGAAGCTTCCATGAGAAATAGGAATATATATTTTTATGGTTATTGCAGGCACCCCACATAAAGCAACCAGATTTTATAATGCCATTGAAAACACATTTTTAAAGTTATGTAAATTGATATGTGTGCACTGCTGAAAAATTGACAGATAATTTCCTCCATACAAAAGTAGCTGATAGCATTTTGACTGATTTTTCCAGACTTTGTGTCTCTCACACAATACTGTATTAAATTTACAGTAGTGAGACTTGATTTTCATCACTTGATAATAAGTTTGGATTAAGATTTCATTTGCATTTGACCCTGTGGCGTGCATGGGGGACCTGGTGCACTGCTGGCTTCTTGGCACGAGCTGGCATTGGCACCACTCTGCCAGCGGCCGGCCCTGTGTTCTTTGCCTGATGATGTCTGTGATGAGGTTTTATATGGATTGGCGTGATGTCGGAGAAAATCCACCTTTCTTAGAAAAGCTGGTGTAGACTCCTTTTCCAGGTGTCTGTGTGAGGCCAGATTTTCTTGCATCTACTTAGACCAAGACAAAGCAAGCTAAAGCAAATTCTACCTGTAAAATACAGCTCTCTCCTAGTAAGCCCGACGTTGAGCCTTGCAAAAATGTTAAATAGCGCCACTCTTTTTTGTCCTTACTTTTGTGCATTTTTGAAAATCGTTTTTCAAACAAAGGGCTGGTGGTCCAGAAAGCATTGAGATTTCAGCCAGGGATCCCCTGAAATGAGTGACTGTGAGTGAGGGGTGGCTACCCAGACCAAGAATGGGTTTGGACTGAAAAATACAAAAATTAATGAAGTTAAAATAAAATTATAAAAGTTAAAAACATTTAAGAAAGAATGGGGGAGGGGCCTATGTCATGCCTTCCACAATAAAGGTGTGTGTTTGAGTCCTGGGGAAGCTGTGCCTGCCGAGGAGGAAGCTGAAAGGAAAGGACCAGGGTTTTCACACGATGTGCCATTCAGCACGCACTGGCGTTCCGGGACATGTCCCCGAGGATGAGGGGGTGGTTGTAGCTGTTGATTCAGAATGAAGCCTCTCCTGACAGCACATCTGTGGTGTTTTCTTTTAGAACTTCTCCAAGAATATCTTTGCCATCCTTCAGTCTGTGAAAGCCAGAGAAGAAGGGCGTGCCCCCGAGCAGCGACCGGCCCCCAACGCAGCGCCCGTGGTAAGGACGGCTCGGCTCGCTGCTTACGCTGTGACTTTGCTGAAAGTGACGCGCGGTTGCCAGCGTTATAATTTTGAAGACATGTAATCAAAGGCTTTCACTTAGTAGGTTCCATACCTTATGTCCAAAGGATGTGGAAATCCTTCTCACCGTTAAGAGTCACTTGAGCAGTAAATCTTACCTGGAGACATACCTGTGATGACTCTCGTAACAAAGGAATCTTCTTTCCTTCGAGCTGGTTGATAGGTCAATTCATGGTAGACAAATGGTCACATGCCTACCCGGAAGAAGTCTCCATTAGAATATCACAGGCATCGTCCTTATCCTGGTGAATAGTCTTCCATAATAATGTTTTATTATTGAATTACATAAATGCGTAATGTTACCTTAGAATAAATATATGTACGACTACATTTTATATCCATAACGAGCTATTGAGAGGTATACCAGCTTCTTTATCACTTAGTCATCTCAAGAATCCTGTGATGCAAAAATATTATTCTCATTTGATAGGTGAGAAAACTGAGAAATAGGTTGCAATTGCCCAAGTCCATAATCCTCCTATATAATAAAAGACTAATGTGCAAATCGCCCAAACGGCAGAATGACCAATCAGTTGATTTGCAATTAGCCTTTTATTATATAGGATTATTGTTACAGCTGTCATTGTCATTATATTCATTTAAAGATGATGAGTATTAAGTAACAATAGGCTATGAACATGGAAATCACGGTTCATTTTTCTACAGGATCCCACATTGCGAACCAAACAGCCCATCCCAGCTGCCTACAACAGATACGACCAGGAGAGATTCAAAGGGAAAGAAGGCAAGTGATGCGATGTGTGTCTTCCACATCCTGAGCCCTCATCTCTGTCTACAGCATTGCTTCTCTCCAGTGACAGACCTAACCGTTGTCATTTTGGGACATGGCTTTTCCTATATGTTACGACTTCTTATGCTAATAGGTGCTTCCAGTGGTACTGTAAATTGAGTGTTAGATGTGAATAATTTGGGGGTTACATTAAAAAGTTTACTCAATCTAATTTTTAAAATATATATTTTTATTGACTTGAGAGAGGGAGAGAGAGAGAGAGAGAAACATCCATGATTGGCTGCCTCCTGTATGGGATGGAGCCCACAACCGAGGCATGTGCCCTGGCCAGGAATAGAACCATGACCTCCTGGTTCATAAGGTTGATGCTCAACCCCTGAGCCATGCCAGCTGGGCTCAATCTCAATTTTTGACACTTCCAACCAGCTATATAAGTATTGAATATAGTTGTGGACATAGTGTTAACCAGCTTCTGCCCACCGGCCTCGTTGGTGTGTATTCAATATATTTTTGAGACTAGGATCCTTATAAGTTTTTATCTTCGGAAGTGCATGATTTAACATAATATGTATGGTAGAGTCAAGGTTTTTTTTTTTACATACTGTTGACCTGTTAAGATATATTCTGGAGTATTACTTTAGTCTAATAGAAAACCCTCTTTGTGTACAGAAACGGAAGGCTTCAAGATTGACACGATGGGCACGTACCACGGGATGACGCTGAAGTCCGTGACGGTGAGTCCTCTGGCCACAGAGCTGCCCTGGCTCCGGCCCCTCTGAGCCGCGGTGCTGACGGAGCGCGTGGCTCTGTCTTCTGTTCCAGACGCTTGTCTTTAGTGCGGTTGTGCTGCTGGGTGTGTGTGGAGGTGGGTTCCCAGGTGTCCTTCTCGCCTTTGGTTAAGTGAGTTGAGTGTGTGTGAACCTGCTGGGATGAACTGCAAGTAGGGGGATGCTCCCTGGGGAGCGGATTTAAAGACAGCAAGGGGTCAGGGTCAGCCTGGAGGGTTTCTCGCCCTGGTGTCTTACGCTTTTTAAGTGAAATCCCTTACCTCTTTAAGAGACATCAGAATTCATTGTTATTGACTGTTCTTGGGACAGAACCTGCCTCCCGGCCATTCCCCAATCGCACTGCTGTGGGACTGAGTTGCTTTCCCTTGGCAGCCATAAAGGAAGTCTTTCATGGTTATTGTCCTTTCTACGTTGGCCTCATCGGAAATGCCATTAAGTTGGCTTCAGTATTGAGCTGTGCAGACAGGGAAGTCGGTGATGGTTTTATGGAGATTCTTCTGCAGATCAGTTTTCCTCACCTCCCAGGGCAGCCTCCTGAGGAGAGTCAGAGCGGTGGGCGCTGCTGCCCACTTGGTGGCGTGTGATTCCACAGAAACAAGCACACAGGACGGTCGGATTGCTACCGCTTCTAGCATTTTAAGACTCATTTTTAATCTCTGCCGTGGCCTGATTGATTTGAGCAGGCCTTACAGAATACTTAGAGAAGTGCGAACTCGACACTTTGTACGCGTTTTGATGCTAATGTTTCATAACAATCATGAGTTATTGAGATTTATAGAAATTAATGCCCAGCCAGGGTATTTTGGTAACATTTGGTAATATTTCACAAAGCTCAGAATTTAATGAAAGTTATTATAGGAGTAGAAGCAACCCAGGTTGTCTTTCCAGTTACAGGTGTCTTTACAGTTACAAGTCCGTGTAGTTGGTTGCTAATGACTTTTGACTTAGGCCAAGAAATGCATTTCCTAGTAAAGGCTCCAGAGGGCTGCAGGCTGCTGGGGGCTTTTTTGAGCCTTTCCCCAAAGCCTGTGCTTGGGCTCCATAATGTGTAAGAAACACTGGATTAAACAGATGTGGTGGTGCAGGAACCCCATCGTTTTAATAGTTGAATCACAAGTGCTCACTGGATCCAAGCTGATCTCTCCGCGCTCGCCTCTCCGCCCTCCGGTGGGCGCTGGCAGACCCGGTGTGGCACCGGTCAGCTCCCCGGAGGCCAGCGGAGGGCGGTGGGCTGAGAGTAGGAACCGTTTCAGACAGGAACACTTGAATGTATTGTCATGGATTCCTTCCGTGAAAGGGGACACTACACTAAGAAAACGCACGGGCAATGCTTTCCGGTATATGGTGAGTAAGAGGAGGTGATGAAGAGCCTTCTTTGTTACTGGGTAGCAGCAAGGAACTTGCAGGACTAGAGAGAGGGAGGGCGGGAGAGAGAGAGATAAGCTCAGAGTCTCAGAGGTCAGATGCAGCGAATGTTCCGCTGTGGAAGCGCAGCAGGCTGAGTCTGCACATTCCCGGGTTTATCACTGACACTGGCCAGGTCAGTCCTTCCTCCTCCTCCTCCCAGAAGCGTCAGCTGCTGAGCACTTTGTCCTCCAGAAACTGGCCTTGCAGGTCCCCCTGAGCACCGGCCTGGGAGCCATGGGACTGTCCGGTCATCGCCGGTCTGTCTGTGGGGAGGCAGAGGGGCTGGTTTTCTCTGACCTCTCTTCCTCCTCCATTTCTTCTCTGTCTGACCAGGTGGGACGGATGTGGAGGATGGGAGACAGTCATTAGACCACTAGCAGCGTAAGGTGGCCCTGACTTTCCCCAGAGACTACCCCCTTCAGAGCTTCTTCATAGTTTTATTCCTTTATTTTTCTTACTGAGAGTGGCCCGCTCCAAGGAAACCAAGAAACCACTTCCTTTCTTGTCCGGTCCTTCTTCCCTTGTTTGAGAAAGTGGGGTAACTACTGAACGTTCTTGAGCTCTCAGCAGCGAGATGCTGTGGATTATGATAAAGGACTCTCTAGTCTTCATTAGTCTCCCATTTTTAGGAAACCTTATTTGCATGTTGTTCATCTGTTCCAGTGAGAATCTTCCAGTTCCGTCTGCCAGGGTGACCCAGGTGGGAGGTGGGAAGTGGGTGGGTAGGTGCATAAAGGCTATTGTGGATCCTGCCAACTCCGGGGGAAGTCCGAACATCTCTCCCATGGCCCCGGAGGCGTGTCCATCCTCACTGTCAGGTTCATGATTATTCCCAGGTCACCTCTGTGGTAGACACTGTCTTGGTACCGTGAGTCACAGTGCAGGTAATTTTCTATTCCAAAAGCATAAGACAGTATCGCTCCTTATTGTAACTTATTTACCTCAATCAGTACACCTCGAATCCCTTCAATTTTGACAAAGTCATCAGTATTGAGCATGTTTTACCACTTTTAAATTATAACTCCTTCTCAGTGTCTTTGTAGATTAACCACCCACCATATTTTAACATAGATATGATTTTATTGTGTGTGTGTATCAATATATTTTTATTGATTTCAGAGAGGAAGGAAAGGGGGAGAGAGAGAAACATCAACGATGAGAGGGAATCATTGATTGACTCCCTCATGCATGTTCCACGCTGGGGATTGAGCCTGCAACTTGGGCATGTGCCCTGACCACTGGGAAACGAACTGTGTGACCTCCTGGTTCATAGATCGATGCTGAACCTCTGAGCCAGCCGTAGGGCTTGTTTTATGCTAGAGGCCCGGGGCACTGCGCCCTCTCGCAGGCTGAGACCCTTCGGGGATGTCAGAGAGCGGTTTTCGGCTGATCCCTGCAGGTCGCCCAGAGGGACCCCACGGGTGCACAATTCGTGCACCAGACCTCTAGCATTCATATAAGATCTTTGGGCCCTGACCGTTTGGCTCAGTGAATAGAGCGTTGGCCTGCGGACTGAAAGGTCCTTTGTTGCAGGCACATCCCCAGTAGGGGGTGTGCAGGAGGCACCTGATTGATGTTTCTCTACCATCGATGTTTCTAGCTCTATCCCTCTCCCTTCTTCTCTGCAAAATAAATAAATAAAAATAAATAAAATTATATATATAATAAATATAAATATAAATATATATAAAAATAGATCTTTGGTTCATCTCTTCCTGCCTACCCCTCCCCTTTCTTCCCTTCCCCTCCCTCCCCTCTCCTTCCTTCTGAGAGTCTATTCCATGTTTCCATGCCTGTGTGCTGAGTGTCTGCCCCCTGGTGGTCATTGTGCATCATAGCTTCTGGCTAGTCAACTGGTTGGCTGGGATCAGGCCTAAACAGCAGTCTGACATCCCTTGAGGGTCGTCCTAGATTGGAGAGGGTGCAGGCTGGGCTGAGGGACAACCCCCCCCTCCCCTCCCCCCCCCCCGCTCCCGCCCCCGCCCCTAGTGTACAAATTTCATGCACTGGGGCTCTAGTATATTTGATAACACGCTGTAATTGGGTGTTTAGATATTTCCTTGGGTACTTTTCTGCTGGCTCTTGGCAGTTTTAGTTTGAAGTATCAATTCCTAGGTCTTCATAGATTGGTTTAAATCTTCAATGAATTTCCATTCTTTTATATAAGTCCACGTTCAGACTTTATTTTCTTAGCTGTCTTAGTGTTTCTCTCTTACACATTGGATTGTCTAGTTAGTTCCTCCCTTCTCCTCCCCCACTGTGCCAAACCCCATTGGATCTTTAATTCTGAGTTTTGGTTTTTTTCCAGGTCTTTTTCTTGATGGATGTTTCTTTTGTGTTGTTCTTCTTGTCTTTCCTGCTTCTCATGTTCCTCTGTGAGTGACTGTTCCCACTTTTATTTTAAAAACACCTGTTTTTAAACTCTTGCTTCTGGTATGGTAAAACTAAGTTCTCATTTAAAATTTAGAATGCTCTTTTACTGTCAAGTTGAAGATCTATTTGTTTTGAATGTTTAGGAATTAAAGCTTTAAAGATTTTTATTTTAATTGAAGACAAAGGTCATAGCAATCATAGAACTCAGATAATTGTCTCACTGTTGAGGTTGTCAGAGTTTATGTTGTCATTAAAAATCTTTACATTTAGATTTTTACAGTTTTAATTGACCTGATATTAAATCAATTAGACATTTTACATATTGCAATTTAAGTCAGAAATAATTGATTTAATTTTTTTATTTACAAATAATGAATTTTGGACACTATCAATCTAATTCTCTAAATTTGATAATTTTAGATAAAAGCTTCCATTTTCTTACAAATGTCTATTTGTCATATGTATGTGTTGTCATAAACATTCTGGAATTGAATTTCATGTATAGTTTAATATACCAAACTGGAGAACTAAAATTAAGCAGGTCTTTTAGCCTTTCAGTTTTTTTTTTTCATTAGAAAATCCAAAAGCTCAGCTTCTAATATGATTAGAATATTATCATTTATCTTAAAATGCTGTACAAAATACTTCAGAGTGTTTTGAGGAACTGGTGTGTTTTAACATAGAGGTAGAGCTCTATTATAATAACCAATCATTCTGTTAGTAAATGTCTGGATACATTATAATTTACCAAAAACTTTGGCTATATATTATCAAATGTATTTCTCCTTATAAGAGCTGCTATTTTAAAAATGCAAATTTATGACATAGTAGTTTATACTTGTTTACTAAGGCATTCTGTAACTTACCCAGTGACAAATCTAATAATTGCCATGTTATATGTTATATTTCCAGTTGCTGCCATGCTTTCTCCTATGTGAAGAGAGTAGTCGTTGAAGTTACTATGGTTACTGGTGCTTTATAATCCAGAGGTTCTCAGGTCGCTGGACAGTCCTTACGTGTTTCCTGATGGCTCTTTGTTACGTTGTCCCTAGAGATTCTTCCAGATTCTCTCTCTTGGCAAATGGTACCCCATCCCCTCAGTGCCCAGGCCAGGGTCCCTGGCATCATTTCTGCCACTTACCTCCCTCCCCTCCCCTGCACTGTCT